ACTGCCCTACTAAAACTCACTAATGATCTACTAACTGTTAAAACCAATGGCCACTACTCCGTACTCTTACTACTCGACCGCTCTGCGGCTTTTGATACGGTTGACCATCCCCTCCTCAAAAAAAAAACTCCTCTCTCTTGGTCTCAGAGACTCTGCTCTCTCCTGGTTCTCCTCCTACCTATAGCAGCGCTCCTTCAGCGTTACCTATAACGCTACCTCCTCCTCTTCACTCCCTCTTTCTGTACGGGTCCTCAAGGTTCTGTTCTTGGACCCCTTCTCTTCTCCATCTACACCTCCTCCCTTGGTCACTTGATAAACTCCCATGGCTTTAAGTACCATCTCTATGCTGATGACACACAAATCTATCTTTCTACCCCTCACCTCACGACCCCTTCAGTCTCCTCTCACGTTACTAACCTACTAAGCGACATATCGGCATGGAGGTCACTCCACTTCCTCAAACTTAATCTTTGCAAAATGAGCTCTTAGTATTCCCCCATCACGTGCCCCCTCCCTGACCTGACTTCTTCATCAAGATCAATAACACAATCATCAGTTCCTCCCCTCATGCCAGGGTACTAGGTGTAATCCTAAACTCCCATCTGTACTTTCACCCCCCAAATCCAATCACTGTCCAAATCTTGTAGACTTCACCTTCCGCAACATCTCCAAGATACGCCCGTTCCCTAACCACGGAAACCACTAAGCAACTTATTCACTTCCTTGTTATATCTACCTCATCGCAGGCTATCCCCTCTTCCGTCTATCATGAACACTGCTGCCAGACTTATCCACCTTACTAACCGTTCTGTATCTGACAACCCTCTCTGCCAATCCCTCCACTGGCTTCCCATTGCCCAACGGATAAAATTAAAAACATTAACAATAATTAAATAAAGCCATTTATAACTCTGCCCCAAATTACATCAACGATCTTGTCTCCAAATATCACCCAAACCGTACTTTCCGCTCATGGCAAGACCTCCTGCTCTCTAGCTCCCTTGTCTCCTCCTCCCATGCTCATCTCCAGGACTTTTCCAGAGCTTCCCCCATCCTGTGGATTTCTCTACCCCAATTTATCAGACTATCGCCTACTCTGCTTACTTTTAGGCGATCTCAGAAAACCTGTCTCTTCAAGGAAGCCTATCCTGCTCTCAGCTAATAATGGAAACTTCTACTCTTCCAACCAGTCCATCCCCCACAGTTACTACCTTTTGTACCACTAGCCCCTCCCTCCTAGATTGTAAGCTCCAAGGAGCAGGGCCCTCCTTTCCCTCTGGTATTGAACTGTATTGTTGCTGTATTGTCTCCTGTTATATTGTAAGCGCTGAGCAAACTGTTGGCGCTATATAAATCCTGTATAATAATAATAATAATAACATAGCATGTTTTCTCTCTGGATCACATCAACCCTTTGCACTGCTCCTCTTCCCCCATCAAATCATTTACAAGAAGGCCCTAAGTTGAAGAGGACAGATGTCTTTTTGGATGTGTAGACCACATGTTTTTACCCATGTCTCAGCCAGGCTACAAGCCAAGAAAGCAAAGTTTTCTCAAGGCTCTCAAAAACCTTTAAAACACCATAATACAAAATCATTTCTAAAATCATCCTTGGACAACAGGTGTCTTTTTTAAAGAGCCTTTACTGCATCATGTTCAGTCCAAAAAGTACAAAATGATCATCCACAAGGGTGAAGAGGTTTAATCAGAATGCATTAATGCTGGAAAAATAAACTATTTCATCACTTAGTTACTGAATCATCACTAATGATTGCTAGCATCCAATAGCTGTGAGGTATGTCTACTGCATATTTTCTCTCTCTAATGCCCCCCCCTCTAAAAAGTGTACTCTATACCCTCAGTAGTTTAATTTACTTTCAAGGTATCCCGGTGGTGCCACTCAAGAAATATTGCTCTAAAAAATAATAATAAATAATAAATCATTATTTAAAAAAATCCCCATTAGCTTCTTCTACACCTTAATTCGCCCATATGCAGACACTGTTCCTAATGTGTATTCCATTCCATATAAAAGGTGATGTGTATGGAAACAGTCTTTCGAGAAGGAAAAAATAACACTATAAATGCCCAGAAAACTATTGCACATATTCTTGTTTACATTACAGATTTAGCAGATTTTAGGAAGTTTATTTATTTGAAGGTCACTGATTTACAAGTGCAAATTTTTAAAAGATGTCTAGTTACTAACATATAAAAGGTAAATTAAATTAAATTAATTAACATGAAGATTCAAAAGAAATTATAAAGAAATTATATTTGTAAATGATAACTACCGGTATATTGTATTAAAGAAAACATGCACTGATGTACACAAGTCCTGATCAGCATACTGATCCTGGATCAATCACTTATAATGTTTTAGATCAGTATACAATATAATATACCTTCCAAGCAATTTTCATTTTTCAAAGAATAGTTTAGCAATGGCAATTAGCCATTTTTCACAACTCATTTCCTTAAAGTGCTAACCTGATCTTTTTTTTTAGCATCTAGTATTTGTTAACATATATTTTAAGTTATATAACTATACATATAAATTCAACGCACAGAACTATATATTGGTATTCTGTAACCATAGAAACTTTAATGAAAGCATTCTACTTTGGACGGCAGTGTTACTTTTATTAGGTAGCCCACATGGGTTTAGGCTTCCCATTATTTAATACTTCTAGGTTTTCCTTTGTGTATGTTTTAGTCTGAATTACCAGTACAAATGACTAAAGCATGTGCTCAATATTCATAACTATAGGGGTGGAAATAATGAGGGACCTCCTAAGAAGTAAGTTATGAATATGGTATGCATTTAGGGCTCCTGCTTTTTTTTGAAGTTGGAAACTGGGACAACAGTGTAAAATAAAGTTTTCTCAGTCTGTGATTGCCACCCTTCAATTTCATGTGGCTGTGAAAGCCTGCATTGTTCTTATTAATCTACATTCTCTACAGCTGTAATTGTATGGGATATAATATCTTAGTTGCTGATCCCCAGGTAGGTTGTGTTTTAAACAAAGTAAGACTGTGGTTTTCATCTGTTGGTTAACAATAAATGCAGAAATTGTTATGTGATATTTTACTGTAGCTACAGAGACCTAAACTAAAAAAACTTTAGAGACCACTGAAAAGCTGTCCATACAAAAAAAGTTTATTTGACTTATTATTTAAATCAGTCCTCTTCTGCTAAATATTATATTATGCATTTGGTTCTCATGATATTTAATACCAAAAGTGATCAACTGGTAAAAGAAAATAGTCACCACTATCTACTGATAGGTATAGCTATATAACAGGCTTCTGTAGCCTATTGTTGCATGTCATTAGAGAGTTTATCCTTGAATCTAGAATTTAGGTTATCTTTCTTATAATGACCATTGGTTTTGTAGCTTAAAAATGAATATGATATGCTGTAGTGACCTATGATAATTGTGAACAATTCCTGCATTGTGCAGTCATTAACATATTATCACAATCCCTTCTAACCAGCAAGTTATTAACTGTGACTCTCCTTCACCTAGTTGGTTGATTACAAAATGACCTCTGTAGTAGAGCCCTAGAGGATCTTTACCCAGGAACAGATTACAGTGTCCTCCAACAAAATTACAAAATAGAGGTCAAATTTGTGCAGCAAAATATTCTTACCAAGCACCAGTTTATATACATATTATATATATTACACATGTTTAAGGTTACATTGTTGGCCAAAGTAAAAAAAATATGGCCTCATTCAGATGAGATCTTATGCCAACATGTCAGGGCAAGAACCTTTTGTATTCCTGCAAATTGTATGTAGATAGTTGCAGCTTGTACAAAGCAATGACAGGCTGCCAGCTATGTTGAAGCTGTTCAGATGTAATCACACATGGAGTGATTACCTGATGTTAGAGACAGATGATCATCCTGGACACAAACAGCTAGTGTTCAAGAAAGATCATCTGTTCCTAACCACAGGTAATTGATCTCTGTGTGATGATCTTTGAACACCCACGGACAGCTGTGGCCGCTGTCAGCCTGCAATTGCTTTGTACAGGGTGAGTAGCTGCAATAACCTGCATCCACCTGTGAATCCAGCGACTAGAATATGCTGGATTTATTCTGCAGCAGGCATAAGTCCTGTGTGGATGATACCTAAATTAAAAAAAACCTAAAGGTTATATATATATATATATATATATTTACTTGTTTGCATTGTCAGATGCCTAACACTGTAGTTGATTTTATAGTTAATAAAGCATGCTCTATTTGCTCTAGCGGGAAAAAAAAATCTTTCCTGACGGTTCAATACTCCCTGGTTCAACATTCAACAATGTTATTTCTTGAAAATATTAAAGCCATTCATATCTTGTGCTTGCAAGTTGCAGACATCTTGTGAGGACTTTATTCTACTAAATAAATTTGTGTCACCTGAAATCACAGAAATTGTTCTTTTAATTCTAAACTCTATATGATTTATAAGCAGATTTTAAGAGTAAGAACTTATGCACATGGGTATATGAGTATTTTCTACAGAGAGTGTAGGTTCTTGCTGGCAGAGCTAGGAGAAGATCCTGCCTAAAATAAGCACCCACGATAGACCACATTTAGATGTGTTTAGATCCATACAATATTTAGACATATGCAATTCTTCTAGCGACTTTTCACGTGTATGCGTATACACATTTGCACCCATTAACACACATTTATATGCGTTAGCATGCCTTTACACATATACATGCATTCAGGGGCGGACTGACAACTCATGGGGCCCCCGGGCAATAGGTGATCATGGGGCCCCTGTGTCCTTGCCCAAACTCAAAAAAGCCTATTAAAAAGGTACCAGGGGCATCTCATGGGGCCCCTACTGACCCCGGGCCCTCGGGCAGTGCCCGAGTTTCCAAATGGTCAGTCCGCCCCTGCATGCATTACATTTGCCGATATGCATGGTTTAAAATGGCCGCTCAGCTGCTGCCTTTTTTTTAATCTGCTAATATACTGTCCATTTGGTTAGTAGCAGGGGTGGACTAACCATTTGGGAACTCGGGCATGGCGCGAGGGTCTGCGGTCAGTAGGGGGCCCCATGAGATGCTCCTGGTACCTTTTCATAGGCTTTTTTGGGTGTGGTTTGAGTGTGGGCAAGGACACAGGGGCCCCATGATCCCCTGTTGCCCGGGGGGCCCATAAGTTGTCAGTCCACCCCTAGTTAGTAGACAAAGCTGTGTGCAATGGCCTCACTGAATCCTATAGTGCTGCATTTAGAGGCATAAAAAAATTTACTCTGCATGCATCTAAGCACAGCATTTTTATTCTCATGTGATTAAGCTCTAATCGTCTCAAAACTGAACCACAGGGTGTGCTACAAACAACATTAGACCATTCAGAGTATTAATCATTAATCACTACTATCTGAATATGGTCTTTAAGCCAGGTTTCTGTACATTTACAGAATAAATTAACTAAAGCAGGAACCATGTGAATTTCAATCCATGTATGGCTGTTCCTGTTCAGAAGTCAATCTATTGATCAACGTTTCATGAACAGTCCTGCAGGAATATGGTGCTTCAATCAGTGCTTGCAGCCAATAAGCTGCAGCTCTGATCAATGTATTCTGATGATGGTGGAGTCACACTTTTAGGCCCCATTGAAACCTAAGCATTTTGTAACTCAAAAATGCTCAGGGAGAAAAAAAATTAATTATTCTCTATGGAGATGGTTCGCATCTCCACTCCAAGTCATGCGGGGGGTAACTTTTAGGGATCTGGAAGCCCTCTTTAACAAGAAGGCCCGCAGATTCCATACTGTACATTTACTGACTGAATTAACTAAAGCAGGAACCAGGCAAATTTCAATCCATGTATGGCTGTTTCTGTTCATGACAATGCAATCTATTGTTTGACTTTTCATGAACAGTCCTGCTGGAAAATTTTGCTTTGATCAGTGCTTGCAACCAAGCACTGCTGACGGGGGATTCCCACTGTTAAGCCCCATTTACACCTGAGCATTTTGTAACTCAAAGCTTGAAGCTCCAACATGCTCAGGGAGAAAAAAATCAATTATTCTCTATGGAGCTGGTTCACATTTCCACTCTATGCTGCCTGCAGCCAAACGCCTGAAGCTCAAAAAAGTGTTGAAGCTACTTTGTAGCTCAATTTGGGCAGATTAGTGCATTTTTTTAAATCCTCAAGATTTTTTTCTCCATAGAAATGCATTGAAACAAGTAATTTGCATGTTTGTGAGCATTTTTGCATGTCTGTTTGTTAGGAGCCAACACCCACCTGCATCCTAACAACCAGTGATTCACCCCTGCTGTCAGCCAGCAGGGATGAGTCATCTGTTGTTAAGGAGCTGCTGACAGCAGAATGTAAACAAAGCTGCCCTTGAAAAAAAATTGATACCAAACCCTTATTCAAGCATGCAGCCCAGCAGGCCAGGAAAGGGAGGGACAAGCCACTTGCACTCATGTTAATGAGTACAAGGGCCTGTTTCCCACAATCCTGGCCCAGTGGTTGTGGGGGTGTGGGGTGTGTGGGTAACTTATAAGAATATGGAAGTCCTCTATAACAAGATTGCCCCCAGATCCCATCCCCGCAATGTGAATAAGTATGGGGTGTCTAAATAGCTCCTTAACCATTTGCCCTATGGCCGAATGGCGGCCAGCAAATGTCATCAGCGTTCTGGGTGGACGCCATATGGCGTCCTCCCGCACATGCGCAGATCACGCTCCTGCAGAGCCGTGCAGCGGCACGATCTGTCACTGGCCGTGTACCTCGGACACGGCCGATGACAGATCTGAGTATCGGCCCCAGTTGCCAGTACCATGTGACCTGCTGTGACCAATCACAGCAGGTCACATGACAGTTGTATACAATGGATGGCTTCATTCATGCCATCCATTGTATACTAGTGTCTAGCTGTGAATGGTCACAGCTAATCACATGCACATGTCATGTGATTAGCTGTGGCCAAATCACAGCTAAGCACAAAAAAAAAAAAAACCCTGAATGAATCGTCATTCAGGTAAATGCTTGCTTATAGCAAAGTAATTCTTTGCTATAAGCAAATTGTGTAAAAAAAAAAATACTGATCACTTTCCCAAAGTAGTACAATGTTACTATGGTAACATTGTACTACTTTGGTCATAGTGAAATATGAAAAAAAATCTTAAAAAAAAGAAATCAAAATAATAAAAAATAATAATAAAAAAAAAAAAAAAAAAAAAACATTTTTTTTTTCATACTGTCACCAGTCAGTGTCCCTGATCACCGCCATGCCAGTTATATGATGACGCTGTACTGCACTAATGACAATATGTAAAAAAAAAATAGTGAAACTAATTTGTTTAATTTTTTCATTTTCAAAAAAACTCGCCATGCCTCTTATGAAGTACGTCGGGCTGTCTACTTTGCAAAAAGGGGTCATTTGGGGGATATCTGTACTGTTCTGACATTCTTGGATCTCAAGATATTAGATTGGCCATCAGTACTTCAGGACTGATCAATATTCAGATCTATCCCATAGTTTGTGAACTCTATAACTTTCCTACAAAGTAAATAATACATCCTAATTTGGGTTATTTTCACCAAAGACATGTAGCAGAATACATCTTAGCCTAAATACAGTCATGGCCGAAATTGTTGGCACCCTTGATATTTTTCCTGAAAATCAAGTATTTCACACAAAAAAGGTATTGCATTAACACATGTTTTGCTATACACATGTTTATTCCCTTTGTATGTATTGGAACAAATATAAAACAGAGGCAGAAAAGCAAATATGACATAATGTCACACAAAACCCCAAAAATGGGCTGGACAAAAGTATTGGCACCCTTAACTTAATATTTGGTTGCACACCCTTTGGAAAACATAACTGAAATCAGTCGCTTCCTATAACCATCAATAAGCTTCTGACACCTCTCACCCGGAATTTTGGACCACTCTTCCTTTGCAAACAGCTCCAGGTCTCTCTTATTGGAAGGACACCTTTTCCCAACAGCAATTTTAAGATCTCTCCACAGGTGTTCAATGGGATTTAGATCTGGGCTCATTGCTGGCCACTTCAGAACTCTCCAGCGCTTCTTTGCCATCCATTTCTGAGTGCTTTTTGACGTATGTTTGGGGTCATTGTCCTGCTGGAAGACCCAGGATCTTGGACGCAAACCCAGCTTTCTGACACTGGGCCCTACAGTGCGACCCAAAATCCTTTGGTAATCCTCAGATTTCATGATGCCTTGCACACAGTCAAGGCACCCAGTGCCAGAGGCAGCAAAACAACCCCAAAACATCATTGAACCTCCACCATATTTTACCGTAGGTACTGTGTTTTGTTCTTTGTAGGCCTCATTCCGTTTTCGGTAAACAGTAGAATGATGTGCTTTACCGAAAAGCTCTATCTTGGTCTCATCTGTCCACAAGACGTTTTCCCAGAAGGCTTTTGGCTTACTCAAGTACATTTTGGCAAACTGTAGTCTTGCTTTTTTATGTCTCTGTGTCAGCAGTGGGGTCCTCCTGGGTCTCCTGCCATAGCGTTTCATTTCATTTAAATGTCGACGGATAGTTCGCGCTGACACTGATGCTCCCCTGAGCCTGCAGGACAGCTTGAATGTCTTTGGAACATGTTTGGGGCTGCTTATCCACCATCCGGACTATTCTGCGTTGCAATCTTTCATCAATTTTCCTCATCCGTCCACGACCAGGGAGATTAGCTACAGTGCCATGGGTTGCAAACTTCTTGATAATGTTGCGCACTGTGGACAAAGGCAAATCTAGTTCTCTGGAGATGGACTTGTAACCTTGAGATTGTTGATATTTTGCCACAATTTTGGTTCTCAGGTCCTCAGACAGTTCTCGTCTCCTCTTTCTGTTGTCCATGCTTAGTGTGGCACAGACAGACACACAATGCAAAGGTTAAGTGAACGTCTCTCCTTTTTATCTGCTTTCAGGTGTGATTTCTATATTGCCCACACCTGTTACTTGCCCCAGGTGAGTTTACAGGAGCATCACATGCTTGTAACATTCTTATTTATCCGCAGTTGTGAAAGGGTGCCAATACTTTTGTCCAGCCCATTTTTGGAGGTTTGTGTGACATTATGTCGAATTTGCTTTCTTTCCTCCCTTTTTTTGTTTTGTCCCAATACACACAAAGGGAATAAACATGTGTATAGCAAAACATGTGTTAATGCAATACGTTTCGTGAGAAATACATGATTTCCTGGAGAAATATCAAGGGTGCCAACAATTTCGGCCATGACTGTATATGAAGAACAATTATTTATTTGCAAACGTTTATAACAGAAACAAAGAAAAACGTGTTTTTTTTTTTATTTTTTTTTTTTTTTCAAAATTTTGGGTCTTTTTTTTGTTAATTTAGCAAAACATAAAAACCCTGGTGGTGATTAAATACCACAAAAAGAAAGCTCAGTTGTGCGAAGAAAATGATAAAATTTTAGTTTGGGTACAATGTTGTATGACCGCGCAATTGTCATTCAAAGTGTGAGAGCGCTGAAACCTGAAAACCGGCCTGGGCAGGAAGGTGTAAAATTGCCCGGTATTGAAACGGTTAAAATGCCAAAGCTTAAAATGCTTTAAAAACAGTGTATACAAATTTGCAAAAATGCACAAAAAAATGCCTGAAAAAACACTCAAAGATGCGATGCTCAGGTATGAATGCAGTCTTAAGATCCAATGATATATCAGGGAGGATTTCTCCATCCACCTCAAATGTGTGGATGGGGAAATTGGTCATACACGGCCCAAAAAAAGCTGAGCCAGCTTAAAGTGGAACTTTAGTCAGAAAATAAAGTCCTAATTGATTACGTCATGCTGGCCAATTATGCAGGTATACCTATGTAAAACATTAAAAATAAGTGACTGTACTGTTTAAAACCCATGAATGCATCAGCTCATCCCCGAGAGTCATTACCTTTTGTATCACTTGACCCTCCCCTTTCAGATTGTAAGCTCTAACTGATTCCTCCTGTATTGAATTGTATTTTAACTGTACTGTTTGTCCTCATGTTGTAACAAACAGCAAGCACTGTGCAAACTATTGGCACTATATAAATCCTGTATAATAATAATAATACATGGTCTCTTCCTGCTCAGCACAGCATCAGTTGTTCTCTGTTCTCAGTACTGTGCCGCAAATCAGTGTCAGACAGCCTAAAGATTTACTGCTCAGGGACTCTGGGCTTCAGCAAAATGGCAGCCTCCAGCAAGAAGAAACAAGAACAATGCTGGAGGAAATT